GGGGACCCTATTGTGAACATTTGGAGAAAATAATTTTGTTAAATCAGGCTTAGAATAGTGTTGAATTTTCAGCTCCAATTGCTGTGTCAAAATACAAAATGCAGCTACTGACCATATCCAAATACAAGCTGTAATGGGAATATTTGTTATCTGAATGTGTTTCAAACCAGGAATAAGCCAAGTACACAAAAACAAAGCTTGATATCTTCACAAAATAGCTTCCCTAAAGATTAGATATCAAGCTAAACCCACACTAACAGTACATCAGATCCTGGAAAGGCTACTCTTTGGATTGCAATGTCCAGAATCCCCCACGTAGCATGGTCAGGGGCCTTGTGAGCAGGTGGATTTGCAGATTACAGTCCATAAAAATAACTTCTGCAAGCTCTGCATTACATGATCATATATATGAAAACCCCCAAAACATTATTCCCTTAAAAATGGTAGAAGAATAAGGTCTTGCTTGTTTCTGCTTCTCTACATGCTTCAGAATGTTCTTTTGGTAGTTTGATTTTAAATATACCAACACAAGCTCTGTCTTCCAAATGACCTATTCATAATGCATGTAATTTCAAAATATTATTCTTATCTGCAGCTGGTAAAGAAATGTTGAAAAAAGAACTATTCAGGCTTACCCGTGTATCAACGATGTCCTGCTTCGTTTGGAAAGAAAACTGCTGTTTAGTTCAGGAATGGAATCGTGACCTCATGGTCCAAGTAAGCAAGCAAGCAGCTGCCTCCTGAGGAATGGTAAGTGATATGAATATGAATGACCCCATTCTCTCTCTCTCTCTGTGCTGCTATTGCTGCTGCTATTTGTGTCCTCCATAGCAGGGGCACCCAAATCAGCAGTAGCAACTTAGAGTGCAAATTGGTTTTCCTCAACAGCTCAAGCGTAAAAATAAGAAACATTTGTTAGGGCTACAACCAAACCCCTTCTTTTCAGAATTTCTTAGAAATGAATACTGTCAGCTTGGGGGGAAAAAAGGAAACCTGTCTAGCGAGCCAGTCACTTCCTAAATTTCTTTCTAAATTCCTAGAATTTTCCATTGTGACCTTTGATGCTAAAGTCCTGAAGTGGTTACAATGGGATATTTCATACAGGATGTTGACTTAAACCAATCCACTTTCAAAGAGCAATGAATAGAATTAAGACTAAGCTAAGTGTGAGACCAAGCAGAAAAGCACTCATTCATGAGTCACTAATTCAGAGTCAACTCGCCAAGGTGGATGGAGAGGTCAACAGTTGGCCAATTTCATGACATAGTAAGTCAGAGACCACAGGGTAAGATTGGGTAGGAAGGTGAATGATCTGAATCCAAATGCATGGTGTGGAAATCACCATTTAAAAAAAGGGATTTAAGCTGCAATCCTATGCAGAGTTTCCTGAGAGGGAACACCATTGAATACAATGTAACTTCCTTCTGAGTAGATCTGTCTGTCATAGGAGTATGAGTTGAATCTCCCTTCAGATTTCCTTGCTTAACACAGGGAAAGCAGGGACTGGAGAGGTTGGTGCAACAGATGCAACAACATAAAATACAGTGCCCATGGATATATTTCTATTCCTTTGCTCATTTCTTGCCACCACCCTGTTACTGACAGCCATTTAATACAATTTAGGGTCAATTCCTAATTTATTATTTGAACTTGGATACTAAGATGCTTTAAATGGGTTTATGACTGCTGTATGCCTAGACTCTTATGGTGATTTTTTCTGGATTGGAATTCCACATTAGGGTCAAAGCCATATCTTATAAACCACTCCATTTCACAAGATAAAAAGTGTTTTGTGTTTTTCAGCCCATGGGAAGGGCACAGAAGGAGTGTCAAGAAAAATAAGTAATAATGGATTAGGCATTGTCTACAGTCTTGTTTACAGTCTTGCCAGATTCTGCACAGATGTTTCCACAGAGATGATAAACCTGGTAAAGAGTTCAGTATGGAAGGAACCATATATGCCTACTTTTCTACCCATTTAGATCTCCTTCAGACTGAAACTGATCCCTTAGAGATGGCGTCATTGTCGGGCTAACCTCAGCCACATCCTTGATATTTCTTTCATGTATGTGGGTGGCAAAAGACTGAATAAGGCTGACAATCATGGGTTGTTAAGGGAAGATAAGACAGCACTGGATCGCCAATCCTCCCAAATCTGACATGAAAACCCAAACCACATAGCCCCAGAAATCAACAGATGAAAGGGTCTCTGTTATCCTCTAGAGGTCAAATTCTTCTCCTCCCATCAGCCTGTGTTTATCAGGCCCCTAGACCAAGACTGAAGCTATGTTATGGGAAGCTGTAACTTTGCAAGATTGTACAGGGTCAGCATAAATGAGGTCTTGGTTTCTAATCCTATGTCTCCCAGGAATAAGATTTTGATAAGCTGATGTAGCTGAGTAATAGGGCACTGACTTAGCCAAACACCACATGGACTATTTTGTTTTTGTCATGTTCCTTCAAGTCATTTCTGACCTATGGCTCATGGGGTTTTATTGGCAAGATTTGTCAGAAGTGGTTTGCCATTGCCTTCCCCTGAGGCTGAGAGCATGTGACTTGCCTAAGGTCACCCAGGGGTCTCATGGCCAAGCTGGGAATCGAACTCTGGTTAAATGCCTGTACTGCAGCCACTCACTCATAAACCACAAGGTTGCGAGTTCAATACCAGCCAGGGCTGAGGCTCGACTCAGGCCTGCATCCTTCTGAGGTCGCTAAAATGAGTACCCAGATTGTTGGGGGGCAATCAGCTCACAGTTGTAAACCGCTTAGACATCCCATAGCGTGATATGAAGCGGTATATAAATAAGCTGCTTTGCTTTTGCTTTGCAGAGTCATAGTCCAACACTCAAACTACTCTGCCACACTGGATTCAGTAGCCTTTATCAGACAACTAGCTCATTTATATGTGGCAAAGGTGCCTCTTCTCTGTTTACACTGGGTTCATAGCATCATAGAGTTGGAAGAGCCATCCAGTCCAACCCCCCTGCCATGCAGGAAATCACAATCAAAGCATCCCTGACAGATGGCCATGCAGCCTCTGTTTAAAGACCTCCAAGGAAGAAGAAAGTTTTTCATGATCTATACAATCTATATAGCACAGACTGATTTCTTTTTTAAATTATTTGGTGCACTCCATTATCCAATGCATGTTTGCCATATAATACCTAGCACTTCTTCTTTTCTTTAACCTAGCTTGGAGATCTGGCATTTCTTACTCCATATTTCATAAAACTCTTTGTTGCAGAATTTTGAGCAACACTTTGCTTGCATCAGAAATTAATGCAATGGCTCTGTGGTCACTGTAATACCTGGTGTCCCCTTTCTTGGGGACTGGGATGTATACGGAGTGTTACTAGTCTGTGGGCCATTGTTTTATTTTCCATATTTGTTGACAGAAGAGTAGATTCTGCCTCTGTTGGTATGCCTTCCATTCCTGGTTATTTGTTTCTCTCACCTACTGAGTGCAGCTTCCACTTCACGTCTTTTAAATTGGAGCTTTGTCTTTATATGGTTCTTTCTTTAATTAATCTGTCATCCTTTCATTTTTTTCCCTATATAGTTCTTCTGTGGGTGCATCTAATAATGCAATTTTACAACATTTGCTGGCTATTTTCCTAGCTCTTCTTCTTTCCCCCACTTCCACTCTCTGCTTGATGCATCTCAACAACTGCCAGATTTATTGGCACAACAGTCCTCTCCTCAGCCTTGTTAACACTCTAGGACAAGAAAAATAGACCCTCAGTCCTGGTGTGGTGGTGTGTATTCATGTGGAATACTCGCTGCACCACCATCTCAGAGTTGTGCTGCATTGTAAGGATCATAGACAGAAAACATGAAATGAAAGGAATTAATATAGAGGGAGCAGTCCCATTTGTCACTAGTCCACACAGTTATCAGAGACTAGTTTAGACTGTCTAGAATATATGGTTTCTTTCCTGTGTTCATTGATATGCTGTCTGTCTTTCCTCCTGCATTCACCAATGGACTATCTGCCTTTCTTTATTTCCCAAGGTGCACAGGTTAGTCCCAACATACCCTAACATGGGCCAGGAGAGAAGGCATACTATCTAAACTGGCTCTGTTTGATTTTTAAAAACCACCCTATAAAACCAAGAAAGACTTACCAGGCTCACTGATTAGATGTCCTCTGCTGTAATACAGTAAAACCTTCTGTTCAGAGCATGTCCAAGGACTGGAGTGAAGCAAAGTACAAGAAAGCCCAAGAACCTGAACGGGAAAACAGGCCCCTCAGAATGTTCTGTGAGCAGCAGCTTAAGAAGTTAATGAGTGTGGAAGAACTATGAGGCAGTCATAACAAGGAGGCCAGGGTCAAGGAATGAAATTTGTATTCCTAAAGTCAAAGAGCAGCTGGAAGGAGCTTACTGAGCACAGTGGAGCCATGGGGATGTGGCTCAGGCTAGTCAGGTCCTGCCTTGTTTTTCCCCTCAGCCTTCTGCCAAGGTTTTTTCCATCTTCAGTGCTTGTTATTTCCCTCCCTCCAACCGCTTCTACATGCATTCCAGTGGCTTGGTCTGTAATCTTACCATATTAACCAGACTTAGAATGAATAAGAGAGATGGGTATATTTTTGGAGACACTTTTGCACAATTTTTCTACTTCCAGTAGGTGTAAGTCAGCTATCCAGGCTATACTTCCTTCCCTGAGAGTTTTCCATTGTTGTCCCTCAACTCCAGACTGGAGAATTTTGTTCAAAGTGCACGCATTTTCCAACTGCACACATTTTTTTTTCTAAACATGACAGAAAGAACGTTTTTTTAAAAAATAGTTTTACGAGAAAGGAAAGCTGATGGATTTACTCATCCAGGGAGGAGGTTGAATTCATTGTTGTTGTGTGCCTTCAAGTCACTTCCAATTTATGGCGACCCTAAGGTCAACCTATCATAGGGTTTTCTTGGCAGCTTTTGTTCAGTGGGTTTGCTGTTGTGATCCACTGAAGCTGAGAGAGTGTGACTTGCCCAGGGTCACCCAGTTGGTTTACATGGCTGAGCTGGAATTTGAACCCTGATCTCCAGAGTCGTAGTCCAAGGCTCAAACCACTACGCCACCCTGGCTCTCATACCCAGCCATATTTGTTGTACTGAATCAATAATTGCTTCCTCCTCTTTTCCCCACCTGCTCTCATCATCTTTTTCAGCCAAATGACAAGCAGATACAACATAGTCTTCTCTATCCTTGGAGTCGCTGAATTTATCCAGGACAGATTTCATTTGGTTAATTGCAAAGAAAGCTGCTTTACCAGAGTTGTAGATTTTTCTTTCTGTAAAGGGGATGAAAAGAACTTGAGATATTAAACATCTGGATATATGAGAAACAGGACAGACTTATCCCTAAGGATAACCTAGCCCACCCTTACTAGCCTGTCAATCAAAGCAGAAATGGAGTGAAAGTGATAAAGGTGAATTTAGATAACAGGCGGGTATAGTTAGCAAAGTGTTAGGCCCCTATAATTTATAATAAAATACCTGGAATGTGCAGGTGTGCTCATTTGGTAGCTGAGCTAAACATACCAAAGTCACTCCTCAAAATCCAGCTTGAGGCAAAAGCTACTGTATAGAAAACAGTTTTCTCTGTGTTCAGCCAAGAGGCATTCATACTTTTGAAACAAGGGAGACATCTGAAACAAAGCAAAGAAATGTTTTGGCACTCACCATGATCCGAAGATCTCAGATAATTCTCAATCCTAGAATTTTGAGGGATTTGGCTCATGTTTATCACAGTTATCAGAGGGGCAGTTTTCACCCTTTTGCTTTAAATATCTGGGGCAATTGCTCATTTCAGTAGACTATAAACCTTCCCGGATAATTGCAAGTAATCACAAAAATATTACTCCTCATTTGCTGTTTTTATTTATCAATTGCAAAACAGTAATTTGAGAGAGCTCACTGCTGGAACTATTTCCGGTTCTGGGAAATTCTATTCCTCCTGTATTGCAGTAATAGCAATGTTATTTTAAGCCAGTAATAAATGTGAGCATGACAGAAAGTCATGTGATACCACGAATTTGACCAGTGTTGGAGAATTTGAGCTAGAATCCAAGTTCCACGGAACACTTCTCACTCTCGGAACAGGGTGACCCAATAGAAATAAGCAGGAAAAGAAATCCTGCATCCAGCATCCTGTGGTTGCAATACCTTTTCCTGAGCAAGAGCTGCAGAACCACCTGGCTGGAGGTGGAGTAGCAGATGGTGCCATCCTTCTCCCGGCTGCTAAGTCCAAAGTCAGCCAAGTTTTTTGGGCACGAGGCAAAAAAATTGCACAAACAACCTCTCCCTCATCCCTGACTGTCAAATAACAAATTAAATAAGTAACTATTTGCTGTCCTTTCATTATACTCTAAATCTGCTCCCTGTGGCAGCCACCTGTCTGGCAACTGTTAGACCCAACCCCTTCCCCTGGCTATTCATAGCTGTTATGCAATCTTGCTTAAAGAAGAAAAACAAAAATAAATGGATCCAGGGCCTGTCACCCGTTAGCTGAACAGCTCTGCTCATGAACATCCCTGCCTCTCTGCATTTTAGTGATCCTCCTTAGGGTTCCCAGATCTCAGTGCCTGCCCTGTTTTCTCTGATCTCAGAGCAAGGGGGGGGGGGGGAGGAATCTCAGGGCAATAACACTGTCTTGAAGAGTCTCTCTTTCCTCATTCATTAGACTTGGGTATTTTTGAATGGCATATTCTGTGCAATTGTAGTTGATGCTTAAGGCATTTTGCTTAAAGGGTATTATTATTATTATTATTATTATTATTATTATTATTATTATTTGCACCTTGTAACATCACAGTCGTAACATTACCAGGGGCACTTTCACACTATGCAATTATAGCACCCCATGGCTCCACTTGTATTGTCATGGCTGCGTCCTGTGGAATCCTAGGGTTTGGAGTTTAGTAGGGAATTGATAGCCTCGGCTAAAGGCAGGATATAAATAAATTATTATTATTATTATTATTATTATTATTATTATTAACTAGAGATCTCTGGTTGAGAATTTCAAATATACCTCCCTAAACTACAGTTCCCAGGATATTGCCATGGTAGTTAAAGTATGAACGGGCCCCAGAACCTGTCCCCCACAATATTGCTAGGACTCAAGATTTGGCACTGAAATCCTGGGATAGTAGTCCTAACCTGTCAACTCTTAGCAGTGATGGCTGAAGGGTTCTGGCAGCTATAGTTCCCAAAATTGACTTCTCAAGACCAAGGAAGGAATGTAGCATAAGTTGAGTTTTCCAGCTCTGATTGTGGCCTGGGTCCTCTTTGGGTCAGTCCTCTGTCTGTGTTTGTTACATTGGTGTGAACACTTTTTCACGTTGCCTCTGTGAAGAGAGGAATCTGCTCTGCTGACTCCTGAACTACTCTCAGTGCCATCTCACCAAAGCCATGGTGCCACAGTTGCATTCACTTTTGGTGCCACATTGTTACCTCTGAGGTCAGTATAGGTACACTAACCAATGGGATTATGGCCAGTAACTCCAGTTATGCTTCTCCCTGCAGTATATGATTAGGTCTGCATTATGTTTATTTCACAAGAGACTGTAGCTGCCAAAAAATGCTGCCCTCTAAGCTTTTTACATGACTGTAATGTACATCAGGTCTGCAATAATTGTGACTTGTTGAAGCCTACACACAATACCAAAATACAGATTCTGTTGTGATGGTATATCACAGTGTGTCATCAATTCCTGACACACTGCAGAAATAAAGCAGTTTGACACTACTTTAAATGCCATAGCTCAACGCTATGCAGTGATGTCACTAGGGTTCGTGTCACCCAGTGCGGTAACTCATGGTGTCACCCCCCCCACCGTTGACCTCCTCCCATTTCACACCATACAGAATCCTTAGTCATTCTTTTTTGCACTGTTACCCATAAATAGTAATTCCCATAGATCACTGAATATAATGCTAATAGTTGTGACATAAACAACTAGGAAAATTAAAATTACACTTTCAAATTACAATATCATATGCACAACCTAAATGTATTTACATATACATAGTGAAGATTTAGTTAAAATGTGATCTTTTTAAAGAAAATTTAAAAAGAATATATTTTTTTAAAAAATCAATTTTTTAATTTTTAAAAAATTTGAAATTTTAATTTTAAAAAATTCTGGGTCCTCCTCTCCCCCACACTGAGCTTCACCCCACTCTCACCATCTCTTAAAGCATTTTAAAGGGAAGATGAATGCCACAGCCCGTTTCTGCTAAAAGGTAGGTGTTTGAGGACCAGTGGTGTCATCCCTCCCCCATTTAGGGTGGTGTCACCTCATCTTTATGGTGTGCACCCCCCCACATCCCCTAGCGATGCCACTGATGCTATGGGGAAAAGCTTACTGTCCCACCACCATTGATGAGGATACAGGAGAGAGCCTTCTCAGTGGCTGCTCCCACCCTGTGGAATTTTCTTGCATGAGAAATTAGGCTGGTCCCCTCCCTGGTCTCCTGTTGCCAGCAGGCAAAAACCTTCATGTTTAACCAAGCTTTTAATGACTAATTGTTACCAGGAAGCCTTCCTATAGGGATGGAGAATCTAGTTTTTGTATGTTTTACAATTATTTCATACATATTGTTTAATAGATGATATTAAAATTGTTATTATTATTTGTTTTTTCAAATTTTATTACTGTATTTTTAGCAAATTTTGTTTTGTGAGCTGCTTTGCATCTTACACTAGGAGAAAGGTTGTATATAACTGCAATAAATAAATAAATACATCTATATACACACACACCTATATCCAAACACAAACACACAAGATACATATTTTCATTCTGCACCTTCCCTGGCTGCCCACACTACCTGGTCTAAAGAAGACCTGTGAGAGGATTTACTTTATGACATTTTTTCTGTATGATTTAATTTGAAGTGTGGGCTGTCACGGGGGCTGCCATAAAGATTATTTTACAGTGAACAAAAGGACATTCGCCTGTTCTCTTTGTCCATCTAGCAATTAAGGTAAGCATAACAATTCTGAACACAATCCATGTGATTTTCTCCAAAGACTTTTCTTCCTGTGAAAAAAGGAACCTTCCTTATCTTGAAATCCTCAACATTTTCAACCATTTCAAGGCATTTTCAACAGCTTATTTAGGATTATATACATTTATACATCATGTTATACAGATTCCCCTTTAAGTTACTACATAGCATACATTTTAGATCTTTGGACCACATTTTCCCATATATCCATATGATCATTATGCCCAAAATTTTGGGCCCAACTAATCATGTACTTTCTTTCAGGCTCATTTTCTCCTACATTGCCTCACAGTGATGTTACATGGAGTACTTTGCAAGAAATTAAAATTGTTTTGACTCCTAGAAGCTCTCATCTTGGTCACTATCACTCCCTACATGTATTATTTTAAAGATGATCCAAGAAAGGCCTCAGAGCTTGAAGTTCCTTGTGAGGACTACAACTCCCACAATTTCACAGTCAGCATGGTCATTGGCTGTATGAGCTAATAAATTCCAGGAGCTATAATAATAATTAAAAAAGGATTTTCCCTTCAAACTCTGAAAGGGTTCTATGTGGTAATGTCAGGTCTAATTCTAGTTTACCTGTATGCATATATACATTTTTGAGCAGACCTGCTGACAGTGAATTTGCAAAAGTACAAAATCCTACATTTTAACATAACAGTGTAGTTTGTGCATAACAACTCACTGTGTGCTACCATTTCCAAGAATCCATTGATAGAATTAGGTTTTCGGAATAAAATTAAAGCAGAACCCCTAAACAAAACGAACAAGTCTTCCCATATCATAATAACTGTTAAGTCCTCATGAGGTGAAAAAAGGCAGTAATAATTGACTTAACTCAGCTAATCTCAGCAGATATTGACTTTTCTGCTCCAGCTGATGTTATATGAGACTTATCAGGTTCCAGGAGTTTATGCAAATTTATTTTGTCTTTACATTGTGACCAAGTCAGCTAACACTTTGATTTGTGTAGTTATAAAACTGTTTACTGTAGGTCATCAAAAGCATTATAAATCACATAGATTTATATATCCCATTTCACTGATAAGACTGAACCAGGCTGACTAAGCTGATCTGTCTTCACTTCACAGAAACACAGGCATTTTCTTTATAGTATATGAGGCTGATTGCCCATCTAGTTCAGTATTATTTATTCTGACTCTTAGTGGCTATCTGGAGTCTTTGTCACTATTTAGAAAATTAATTAGTTTCTGTGGCTATTCAAAAATAAAGTCCTGCATTATTAGTACACATTGCAATTATTCGTACACATTGTAAGTACGGCAGTCCATGGTTCTTTCTTTCCACAAGGAGGAGCATAAGTAATGAGCGTGAGTCATGGACAGATATAGACTTCAGAGTCTTCTGTTGCTCTACTTTTTTTCAAGAGGAATTTTTTCTTCTTTCGATGTTAAACAGTATGCTGCAAAGGAATGGAAAGGAACCCTGCTCTGTTATTATTCTTGTATGATATGAAAACTTCTCTCAACATCTACTTTAAACTATTTAGTTGCTAATTGAAAGAAATTTCTCCCCCCCCCAACTCCTTTGATTTAAAATTTGTTCCAAAGTTTGACTGTAACGGTACATCCACTTTTTTGAGTAACAACCTTAAGCAATGTTGAGCAACAACCTACTGAATCATAGGTTGTTGTCATTACAGCCTTGCTAATTTTGGAAAGAGCAACACTGTGGATTTCCCCTAGAATTAAATGCAAGCAACTTGCACAACCACTGAAGCTTATCTTTATTTTTTTTTTTTAAGTAAGAGGCATAATGGTTTTGAAACTGTATTGGAAAACCGTGGAGTTCTTTGGAAATATAAGGAGAAAAAGTCACCAAAGGGAGACAGAGCTCTTAGAAACACCTCTCCTAATCTTCTGCTGTGCTTTGCAGCCACAGATCAGTGAAGGATGTATTTCAGGATGTGGGTTGAATAGATATGGTCAGTCCTCTCCATGAATCATTTCACTATCCATGTCTTGTAACACAACAATGTGCTTGTATCTATGTCTTGTAACACAACACTGAACAGATAGGCAGTGGTCCTCACGGCAGACAACTCAATACTGTTTTGAAACAGTCTCACCAAAATATGAATCCAGAGCATGGAATATGTTTTAGAATCACAATTGCTAGAATACTGCTAGGAACCATGTTGGCTAGGGGATTCTGGGAGTTGTAGTCCAAAAGAGTAATTGTCCCAAGCTTTGTGCTAAACCAGTAGCCTTGTTTTTTTAAAGATAATTTTGACTGATGAGAATGCATAGAAATACAATAGTGCCATGTATATTTTCGAAATGTTTACAAATTCACAGGATACATCTGTGTCCAGTGATGAAATTTCAAGTATGTGGTGTAAAAATAGTATGTGTATGTGTTTTTGTGTGTGTATTAAAAATGACTAGATTGTCAGGTAATACTTTCACTTACCAGGGCCCAGTTTCCCTTAAACACTTTAATCTAAAATGTTGCAGCAGTAACATAGGGCATGTCTACACTGACAGGAAAATCCAGCTTACCTTCAGGTTACCCTGATCCAGTTACCACGGGCTTGTCTGCACACACTGAAGCAAGTTCAGGAGAACTCTCCGCACACGGTTCTTCCTTTTGAACTCACCGTGGTTCGATAAATTGCAGTATGTGTGGCTGATTTGGATTTCCCCCCTTTCCCCTCCATGCATGCAAATGTACATATTTCTGAATTCCTCACCCCAGCCCCACAACAATGTCACTATGGAGTGCAGTACACATGCACACAGGAATATCTGAATTTTCTGCTCAAAACCAGGATAGAGCCTTACTTTGTCCCTCTGGATTAAAGCTGTGAGGCGATGAAAAGGCCCGATTCAGCCCCGATCATATCTTATGCCATTTGGATATCTCATTGTGAAAACTAGGTGAGAACATTCTATTTAGCCCATGTACATGCATTGAGGGTGACATTTCAGAAACAGGAATCCAATTTTTCAAGGGATAAATGCAAGTTCTTTATATTGATTTAATCAATTCAAAGATGTAGGCCTACATGGAGCAGATATATTTGGATAAGGTTGGAGTCCCAGCTGTTTATTGTCTTTCAGTTTTTGCACAATGACTCTGGCAACCTCTTCTCCTTGGCTCTCAGTAGTATCAAGCAGTTGCCTGACTTTTGAGGTCCTTGTAGGTTTGGTGCTGATAAGTTCATAATCTTCTCTCATGATTAAATCTCTTGCAAGGAGGGCATCCAAAGATTGGTTAAGGCAAGCCTCAGTCATCTGGCTGACTATTTCCTCTCGTTTACTTAGGATCCACTGGTGTGCTGTGGCAAAATTATGCTTTTGCACAGTCCTCTGTGTAAAATCTAAGAATAGCAATAAAAAGAAGAGGTGACACAATTCTGAAATTTTCAGAGTGAGAAAGACATCTGCCCTATTTGTCTGAACTTTAAAATACCAGAATTATATTCATCAAATAAGACTGCTTTATAGTTTCATTCAAATAAACTCTAAAAATGTAGCAGTAACTACACCCATAATCTTAATATAGCCAGTATTTCTTAGCATCATTTTATTTATGATGCTTTTATGCCATTTAATTTAGTAACATCTCTAAACAGTTTACATAAAGGGCACTATAAAATAAAGGCTAAAATGCATGTAAATGAGATATCTCTCGCTCATAAAAGAAACCAAAGCAGACACCCATGACTGCACTTCTATGTTTACTTTCAGACTTATGATGACCCTAAGATAAACCTTTCTTGGGGTTTTCTTGGCAAGATTTAGAGGGGGCTTGCCTTTGGCTTCCTCTGAGGCTGACAGAAACCCCTTGGGCACCCAGTAGAATTCTATGGCTGAACAGGGATTCGAACCCTGCTCTCTAGAGTTATACTCCAACACTCAGACCACTACATTATGCTGGCTCGCCATATTACAATGCCCTGTTAATAAACACTCAGGCTGATCATATGAATGGGATGCAAGGATCCCACCTGCATACCTGAATTGTTTCCTGGTGACTGCAGTGAGTGTGGCATGGAATTTGATGAATTAGAACTACTTGTACTGCATGAGGAAGAGCTCTGTAGGGATACATTAGGAGGAGCATTCTGATGCAGTGGGAATAGACTCAGCAGTGTGTGTGGTTCATCTGAGACATCATCACTACCTTTAATGAAGACAAGAACATGTGTTTTTAATTCACACTAAACTAAAAGAAAGCACAGAACCAATTTGTCATTTTGCATATATCACTCTCTATCCAAAAAACTATTCTGGCTATAGTTGTTTTTTATCTGCCCTATGTCAATCTATATCTCTTCTGCCATATGACAAGTGGCTTTAGAAATATTTATTTGCACAACACTTGCACAACAAAGGGCCCTTTCATACAAACATTTATAACACTGCGATTCTACCTTATGTGTCAGAGTAATAGAAATATCTTATAGAATCCTGGGGCTTGTATTCTGGTGAGGCATTTGGGCTCTCTGGCTGAGAATTATTAATACCCTTCAAAAATGGCCTGTCCCACGATTGTGTACTGCAAGGCAGGAGGTTGGACTGATTGGCACTTGTGGTTTCTTCCAACTCTATGATTCTATGTTGCTATGCAATCAAAGTGGAATTATAATGCTAAAGTTGTGTAATGTGCAAGGTCCACACAGCATATGATGGGGAGGAGAATCACATAGGCCTCCATAGTGTTGCTAAACTGTTACTGCCAGCTTTCTCCACTATGGACAATGCTGTGTAGGGCTTCTGGGAGTTGCAATCCAGCAACATATGGAGGACTGCACAATTCTCACTGCTGCTGTATGGGATAGGAAGCTGTTGACTGTTAGGAAACACCATGCTGTGTAGACTGACTGGATTTCCTATGGAATATCTGGATGGGAACACGGATGGGGAACAGCCTTTCCTCCTCTCATTTTGAGGGGGAATGAAACTAGATCATAGCACAATGATTGTTTCCCATTCAAGTGTTTTATATGACAAAAATATCCAGTTATTGGGAATTTAGCTTCTTAGTCAAATGGAGGAGAGCAATTTCTTCCTTTTAAAATGATGAGAAATGTAAAGAATTCCCATATCTTGAAAACTGACAGTTATAACAGAGAGAGACAACTAATGAGGTGAGGGGAGCAACCACTGGTGGGTCCTGGTGCACCAGAAATGACATTACATTAAAAGGAAATAAGCCTGGGAGAGTTAAAAAGGCAAGGCATCACATCTGTACATAGTTTTGGCAATAAATCACCTGAAAATTAATTTTTTTTTTTAAAAAAAGGGGGTTCAGGAAATTACCAGGGAGCTGCAAAAGAGATGTTTGGGGTCTCATTTAAACAAGTAACATTTCAAAACAATGCAACAAGTGAGGACAAAGCACATTAATGTCATAATAACAAAAATGTCTAGCTTCTTATACATGCAATTTCTTAAGGACATTCTAAATCTTTTTAGTGGAATTTTGACAAGGATTTAAATTAATACTATTGTATTGCCAAATGTTACCTTTTTTAAGCAATTAAAAATAACAAAAAAGGCAATAAGCAACACAATAAGTTACTTTCTAATATTGCAAAGTGTAATGACAATGAATTGCTTTTTAAACAGATTAATTTTAAAAGGCTGACTTCCCAAGGTCTGGAACCTTTCTATCCCTTCATAGCATAGAGATAAATGTCTACCACCCACCTCCAATTTAACATGAATTTACCCTACCATCCAAGTTCTGTATAAAATCTTTAAACCATTCCTCCTCCCCTATCTTAATAACCAATAAAAGCTGGACTGAACAGTCAGTACCAACTCTGCTTGAGAAAACAATGGGATATTTCAGTCTCTTGGAGATTCATCATGTTACATTGGTGCAAGTGTATATACCTTATTTTCCTGCGTATAAGACTACTTTTTTACCTGCAAAATCTGTGGTTAAAGTGGGGGGGGGGTCGTCTTATACGCCAGGTATAAGGATAAGGAGGATAGAGGTGCTAAAACTCTATATTTTGGCTGGAAAAATGGGGGGTCGTCTTATACGCCAGGTCGTCTTATACGCCGGAAAATACGGTATTTGCTTTCTGTGACCAGTTACAAATGTAGAAGCTTGGCAGGGTTAACACAAAATATTTTGTTCCCCAAAACAGAGTGCCACATGATCTGTGAGAGCTAACCTAGTACCTCTTCTTCATATCACAGAGCGCCTGTAGTACAATTCTGAGACTGTTAACAATAGTTGCTGAGCCATCATGATGTAGTGCTTTGAGTGTTGGACTAGAACATGGGGAGAGCAAAGTTCAAATCTCTGCTCATCCTTGGAAATTGATTGGGAGACCTTGGACAAGTTACATTCTCTCAGATAAAGGCACGGCAGTGGAATAAAGCTTCTGAATAAAGCTTGCCAAGAAAACCCTAGGGTAGAGTTGCCATAAGTCAGAGTCAACTTGAGGCATATAATAACAATTACTGCTACAGGGATGCATTGGACAACTGCAACCCAACAATCTTTACAACACTAACAACTTTTGTTGTGGGGGAGGAAGGGGAGTGCTATGTCTTGCTATTATACTGGTATCTCTAAAAATACTATGGTGTCCAGCCTCTGTGGTTAGCTTAGGCCCTGATTTTCTATCTATTTCATTGAGCAGAACAGAAAAAAGAGTTAAGCAACATTAACATCTAAAACAAATTCCAAACTTGCTTGTTCAGAGGTAGACAGACCGGACAAACCTGCTGTATTATCACAAGCCCTAAAGCTTTCCTCTTAGTACTTCCACTCCTTGTTCAACCAGTCTGCATCCCTTTTAGTATCGATTTGTGCTTGCACGCATCTCTGTAGAACAATGACATAATGTCCTGATGGGCCAAACTTAGCATCGTAGATAGAAATACATATCTATTAGTCACTGGGAGAATCACCTGTACAAAATATTATTGGATGCTTGTTTTCACAGTCTGAACAACCAATTCATTTTATTTTTCTTATTTGCTTTGGTCCATTCCCTATTAATACCATTCATTAGACAGGAAAGCACCATCTAGCTTAATGGATAGAGAACATGTGGCCCTCTGCCCTCACCATTGGCTATTCTGACTAGGACTGATAGGAGCTGTGAGTCCAGCAACATCTGGAGGCCTCCCACACACACTTGTGATCAACCTGCTCTATATTTAAAAGAAAGTTGCAACCTTATTCATTGTGGTGTGCCTTCAAGTCATTTTTGACTTACAGCAACCTTAAGGTGAGTCTATCATGGGGTTTTCTAAGCCTGAGAGTGTGTGACTGCCCACGGTCACCCAGTGGGTTTCCATGGTTCAGTGGGGTTTTGAACTCTGGTCATAGTCCAATGCTCAAACCACTACCCCATGCTGGCTCCAAGTAAGATTCCAACCTTATTCATACCAGATGACAATTACTCAAACCTTTACTAGTTTAGAAGTGCATACCTTCAGAGAGGACATTGTATTGTTTGGACATATCTGAAAGAACTCTTTGTTGACTTAATCTGTTGTTCTGGGATAGCAAATCACAGGCGTCCTGGGACAAAACACAGTCAAATAGGGAACACATATGGAATTAATGAAATTATTTTGCTCCTCCCCCACAAAGTTTTCCCTCTGCTCCTAGCAGCATATTATGAGACACAGGTTAACATTATTTTTTGAAAAATAAACAGCACCCTTTATATGTCGCTTTCTACACCAAAAACTGAAATACACTTCAATTGTACAGTGGTAGCTGATGGCTCCCTTATTATAAGCACAATGGATCCACTCTGGGTTTTAGTATGAACAATAAGGGAGCTACTATTTATTTATTATTTTGTTCATATCACATATTTTTTCCTGGCATGTGACCCAAGGCAGCTTACAAAGTTGTTAAAAGAAGAAAAAGCTAAAAATCTGATAATAATAATAAAAAACCCACAGTTAAGTTATCATACTAAAACTGTATGAAATTAATGGGATCACTATAGGTTGACAGATGACTTGAAGGCACAAAAAACATCTCCCCCAAACCCTCTCTCTCATACACATGAGATCACATCTCTCTACTCCACCCAGATGATTCACATTGCCACAAGTGCTTGTAAATGGTTTATTGGCCACAAAATCTAACTTCCTTCCATGACTGATGTAAGAAACATAATTGAAGACAGAATATATACCATTATTCCCAAGCAAGACTTAAAAATACTAAAGAAAACTATTGCCCACCACAGGTCTTGATGTTTCTGTACAAAATTATTTGTAGCAATTTTGTCATTTCTCTTATAGTACTTATGTGTTCCAGATATGTTATTCTCTCTCTCTCTTTTTTTGGTAAGATCAGTTCAGAATATCTGGTCCCTAGTTCTATGTTCAATTACCAACACAGATTCAAATTCTCTCTGCAGCCATAACTATAAACTTAATCTAAACCTAAGCTGAAATTATGACACTTTTTTTATAGGAACAATTAGTTTTGTCATGATTGTGAGGGGCACCTGGGAACAGACATCTATTTTCCCACCAACCATACCTCCAACCAAAAACATTACATATATTGTAACACAGTGTCTCAATAGGGCATTCCATCACAAAGTGTAAAGGGAAAATCACTGGGATACTAAGAACAGCCTAACCTGTGCTTGAAGTGGCAGTGAAGCTTTTCTTTAAAGAACCTACAGCTCTCCATATATTTTAAAGTGACCCTCCTTATATCCGAAATGTTCAGAGATTCTCTACCTTGCAAAGAAGTCCTTGAAGAGGGGTGGTGTTTTCACTGGCTCACCCCAATGCAGGAAGGAGTAGAAGAGGAAGATGGGAGAAGAGGAAGAGTAGGAGGAGAAGGGGGAGAAAGATTCTAATGCTCCTGCCAATATCAAATATTTCAGCCTGGTACTAATGGAATAAACTGAAAAGTAAATCAGACTTTCCCATT